TACATGTATTACTAATAAATGTGGCGTTTTGCCTTATTCCCCCTGAAAAGATCCTGTGCAGTACTTTAAGTACAACAGAGAGCCCTCAGCGTTCCCTGACTGCCCCAGAGCCCCACCCACACTCCTCTGTCTCTCCTCCTACAGCTCTTTCCCTCGATCCCCCACTGCCCCCAATCTCCAGCCCCCAGTGCCTGCCCTTCCATCCCATGTTCTTCCCCATGACCCCCAAATCTGCAGGGCATCCCACCCTCCTACCCCCAGCCCTACCAAGAGCCCCTGCTCTGGACCCCCACGCCCCAGTGCCCACCCCCTGATCCTGTCCCCAATCCCCTTCACACACCCTATCCCCCGCTCCTTCAACGCCCACACCTAATCCCCACCCCACAGCCCTCCCCACCCAGGGGAAGCAGGATGCGGGACACCCCCCCGCTCACCTGGCTCCACTTCGGGCAGCCCAGCCTCCAGCACCGCGCTGGGTTTGTGCGGCTCCGCGTAATGCACCAGCAGCTCCATGTCTCGGTCCCACGGGGGCGCCTGGGCCAGCGACACCTGGGGGTGACAGACACACAGTCCCCTCCCTTCAGCTCCTGGGGGGCAGGGTCCCGCTGGCTCTCGCGCCCAGCTCAGTGCTCTTCCATGGAGCCAGAGGGGAGGGGGCGACCTGGGAATGTGGGCTGCACCACCCCCTGGGAACTTGGGCTGGGCCCCCCGGGTTAGGTGGGAGGGAGAGAGGGAAAAACACCCGGGGAAAACACTGCAAATTTCTGAATTTTGGGGGGGGGCAAATCTTTCCAATTGAGGTGAATTCCCCCCCCCCATTTTATTCCACTGAAAATGAAGGGAAATTCCCAGATAGTGAAGGGAACCAGGGTGCATTGAATGCCTGGGATTTCACCCCCATGGGCTGGTCTCAGCCCCTCGACATTTTCCCCAGAGAACTTGGGGAATTCCCCGGATCCGTTTGTGTCGCTCATCCCTCCCTCCGCCCTGGGCCTTCTGGGACCCACCCCCTGCCTCATCCCAGAGCTCCCACCCCTGTATATGCCCCTATAGGACCCATGCCCACATAGTCCCCTGGGACCTGCCCCCTCAGCCTCGCCCCAAATCCCCCACAGCCCTGTCCCCCACCCCTCAGCCCAGAGTCCCCCCATCACTCCTTCACTCAGAGCTGCCCCCCAACTGCCCCTCCCAGCGGCAATGGCCAGGACCCAGGCGTCTGGGCGAGCCCTTACCTGGGCGGTGGTCTGGTTCCCAGCCCTGTAGCTCAGGGGGGTGAGGGAGCAGTTGGAGAGCACACGGTCGATGCCGTGGGGCAACTGCAGCGTGATGCTCAGGCTCAGGGTGTAGGGCAGCTCCCCTGGGGGTACCCGCTGGACCCCCTGGGTGACGTCCTCCCCGTCCCACCCTGCAGAGAGACACGGGTGAGGGCCGGGAGAGTGGGGGGAGGATGGGGAGCATGGGATATTGGTGGGCATGGGGGGATGTGGGATATTGGGGGAGGGTCCAGGGGGGTTACATACCCTGGGGTAGGGATTGCAGGGCTGGGGGGGGCATTAACTGTGGGGCACATAGCAGTGACCTATGGGGTGTTAAGGGGCTATGAAGGTCCATGTGGGTCTTTCCCTGGGGGGTATGTAGCAGGGACTATGGTATCTCATGGGGTTTCAGGCTGTGGGGTCACTCACCATGGGGTGCATAGTGGGGGTTCAGGGGGTCCTGGGTCTCACCATGTAGGGTAAAGCAAGGTTGGGGGGGGCTACGGGGCTCATCGTGGGCATGTAGTTGTGGGTGTGGGGAGTTATCCAGGGCTCTGCGTTTCACTGGGGGGGGTGCATAGCAGGGTTGGGGGGGCTAGGTGTACAGGGAGCTACATTCGCCAGCGGGGGAGCTGTAAAGAAGAGATTTACAATTCACCCAAAGGACAATTGGCAGCTCACGTATGCCCTGGAGCTGCCCAGCCACATCACCCAGCCAGGACTTTTCCAATAAGAAGGGTCAGGATATAAAAAGGGGGAAAACTGGCCCCTGGGCACCTCTCCCCCCCCCTCTTCCTGCTGGCAACGTGAACACTTAGCAGACTTTGAACTAGGGAGCTTGGGTCCAGGCTGGGAAGGAAGTCCAGCCTGTGCACTCAGCACTGGGAACTGCCTGCGGCATCCTGTAGGGCAGGGGTTCTCAAACTGGGGGTCGGGACCCCTCAGGGGGTCGCGAGGTTATTACATGGGGGGGGTGTGAGCTGTCAGCCTCCACCCCAAATCCCGCTTTGCCTCCAGCATTTATAATGGTGTTAAATATACAAAAAAGTGTCTTTAATTTATAAGGGGGTGTCGCACTCAGAGGCTTGCTATGTGAAAGGGGTCACCAGTACAAACATTTGAGAACCACTACTGTAGGGTGAGAAAAGCTGCCTGCTTCAAACCTTCCTTAGCATGGTAACGGTTCAGGACGCAGAGTGCACGTTTACCTTTTATTTCTAATGTAACCAGTTCAGACCTTCGTGCCCCATAACTTGGGATCACTTACAACCCTTCCTTCTCTAGCTACTAAACTCGCTTTAGTGTTTGATCTAAACCAGCATGTTGGATTGGAGTGTTTGGGGAATGTCACTGAGCCCATTAGGGCTGGTGCAGGATCGTTACCCTGGGATGGCCTGACGAACTAATCAATGAACTCGAGCTGCACAGTGACCGGACGTCTCTGGGGTGCAAGGCTGGGGCTGGAGAATTTGCAGATGTTGCCATGTGTGTGGTTCCGGCGTGGCTGTGAGAGCTTCATGCATCTCAGCTGTGTGTGTGTTTGCACACTGGCGGCTGTGTGTGAGCAGAGCCTGGAGGGGCCTGGTGTTCACACAGCAAAGCCGTGTAAAAGACTCCCTGGGCTGGAGGATTAAGGGGGAACAGTGATTCAGCAATCCAGGAATGGCACAGTGAGAGCAGGGTTATATGCACAGCTTGTTGCTCTGAGTGAAGTTTGCACTTTGAGCACGCGTGTGATGATTTTAAGTGGGCTCAAGTGTGAGGATCAGGTTCCAGTTTTGTTATTTTCTCTTCGCTTATTTCAGGAAAGGGAAACAGACACAGAAAAGGTAGAAAAATGAGCAAGCATGATGCAGTTGCAAGGTTAGTGCTGTGCAAACTGTGGGTAGCAGGAAAGGAGAAAGAATACACCTTTACCCCGATATAACGCTGTCCTCGGGAGCCAAAAAATCTTACCGCGTTATAGATGAAACTGCGTTATATCGCACTTGCTTTGATCCGCCGGAGCACGCAGACCTCCCCCCCGGAGCGCTGCTTTACTGCGCTATATCCGAATTCATGTTATATCTGGTCACATTATATCGGGGTAGAGGTGTACCAGCGAACCTTGGAACTGAAGGTCGAGGCTCACCAGCCTGTGTTGAAGGAGAAAGAAATAACTGCGGCCACGGAAATAGCAGCACATCAGCGCGTTTTGGAGCCGAGAGGCAAAGAGGCCGAGGAGAAAGAGCGAAAACGCCAGCTGGAAATGTTAGACATACAGAAGGAAATCCCAGCGTCACCAGCACCTCCCTTTAATGCCAAACGTTTCGGACTGGGACCAGCTGTGGGCCTGTATACATAGAAACAGACTGTGGGGAGGAATATTTCACCACTGCTGAAAAGCTGGGTGATGCCCATGGGATTCCAGAGGGCAAGTGAATGCTCACACGGAGTGCAGAACTGCCTGGTAAAGCTCGGGATGTACCCAATGCAATGCCATTTCTGGATGCTTGGGCATAGTCTACGTTTATGGACACTGTTTTGAAAGAGTTTCAATTTACTCCTGAGGTATGTAGGACAAAATGTAGAGGTCTTCAAAGGAATGCTGGTGTGAGTCATTGGGAGTATGTTTACAGGGTGAATGACCTGAGAAGGAAATGGGTGAAAGTGGTGCAGATTTCGGACAATTGCTAGATCTGATTGGCCAAGAATGTTTCTGGGATCTCTGGGAGAATGATGCGAAGCAGTGTCTGTGGGAGGAGTCTCTGACAGAAATGGCCACTTTGGATGACATCTTTGAGCAAGTTCAGATGTCTAACAAGTCATAGAAACTGGGGTATAAACCTGGAGCGAAGGGGGGATCCCGTTCTCTCTCGGGGGAAAAAAGAGGGTGACTGGGGGGCTGGGCACGCACCTCCCCCGAAACCATTCTTCTAATCTCCACCCCAAACCTCCTGTAAAAACAGAGGAGCACCTGCCACTGTAATTCCACTGGTCACCTGAGAAACCATTGCTCTGCGTGGAGGGACAGCAAGCCATGGGCAGCCCATGTTCTTACCGCTGTGCTCAGCACAGAAACCTCTGAGGCACCTGAAGCGAACCACATTGGTTTTGTGGGATTTGGCTCTGCAGAACCAGACAGGTGACGTATTAAGACTTAGAATTAGTAACAGGGAACACCTGGGATGGGAAGATACAGGTGAACAGATTACTGTGGATAAACAGAGAGTCATGCAAGAAGGTGACACGTTGCCAGGTCAAATGGCAGAGCTTTTACCAGCAGGAGGAGCCAAGACGCCTGGGCCTTTAGCCAAGGTGCACACAGAATCTGATGGCTCAGCAAGTGAATTGAAGGTGGGAACTGTCGACATGCTTGTGGGGAATGATGTTTTCTGCACAGCTGAGGTTGTTAGTGTGGCAAGCTGCCGTCACAGGAAGGAATCCTGCGCCGGAACCCCAGGGGGAAATGGGAAAGCCCCAGAGACTGCTGACGGAAACAGAGAAAGGCTCTCTGCTCTGCAGGGGAGGGGGGAGCAGCGCGCTTCCAGACATGGGAGGGGTTGAGACCAGCTTCTGTACCACAGCAGAAGGCAACATTCCCTCTGATCCCAGGGAGCGGGAGCAAGTGCCTATAACAGAGGACACTGTTCCAGGTGGTGACTGGCAGAGTTTTGCAGCTGAACAAACCATAAATCTCGCTCTAGAGGACACCAGGGAAGGGATCTTAGAGGGGGTCCCAGGAAAGGAAAACGGAGAGAGGATTTTTGTAGAAAACAGGTAGGCCCTGTAAGCAGCTGGCTGTGCCTGGCCAGCCTCGTGGGGAAGTAGCGTTGTTAGCACATGACTGTCCTCACCCTGGTTGCTTGGGGGGGAAATGCAGCCTCAGCTCCTGTCCACTCCAGCAGCGGAGTCAGCAGGGCCGGCTCCAGGCACCAGCTTAACAAGCAGGTGCTTGGGGCGGCCAAGGGAGAGGGGCGGCACCTGCGGCAATTCGGGGGCGGCAGGTCCCTCACTCCCTCTAGGAGCGAAGGACCTGCCGCTGAACTGCCGCCGCCGATCGCAGCTTTTTTTTTCTTTTTGCTTGGGGCGGCAGAAATGCTAGAGCCGGCCTTGGGAGTCAGAGGGTGGACCATGCATCTGAGGAAAGCGGTCTCACAGCCAGCTCCTTGGGGACATGGGGGGGGTGGTGGTGACAGACAGGCTCCCACTCCAGCCCCTAGAGTAGATGTCCGGTTGTATTCTCCAGGCGACCAGTCTGGACATACTTCTGGAAAGTGATGGTCTCTCTAAGACAGGATGTAAACTTGGCTTGGGGAAAAGGGGTCAGTGAAGATGCAACAACCTGGCTGACGGGGCGGGGGTGGTTTCCCTCCCGATGGGCAGCACCAAGGAAGCAGCTGAGAGAATACTGCTAGTTACAGAAAAGGGGGCTGGGGAAGGCGAGGGGAACATGGTAACCCCAAGGCAGAGGGTGCATCACCATGGCATTGGGACACAGCTCCAGAGGGGGCCTGCCCA